CAATTTTCCATCTTTTTAAATCAAGAAATTGAAGTTATATGACCTAATTTCTTACCAGAAACTCAACCCCACCATCTCCACCCACTTAAACCTGTCTTTTTTAATTTTGCCAAAGAATTCCTTCATATATACATGTATATGAAACTTCTTAATATAAAGAGGAATACAGTTTTAGGTTTCGTCTTTGTCTGACGACAACATCACCAATTGACGTCTTTATGACATTATACTTTTCGGCACTCGTTTACAGTTCATCCACAAATGAAATAAATGTATATCATATGCGCTTAACATATATCTGAATAAAGTTTGAAGTGTAAAGTCAAAATGGATAGAGGTAGTAGTATTTTGGATTTTGTTAAAGACTTCCTATTATTATAGAATTTACAGCAGAAGTTAAAACAATGTAACCGTCACGGTAGTCATTCGGTAGATTGCTCGCTCCGTGATCGGTGGGTCGTGGGTTTGAGCCCCTAAGACCTAAGTCGATTAAAAAAAATAGGTATCAACTGTTCCTTCGCCAAGCGCTCGGCAGTTTGAAGAGAAAGTTGCGGGTCTTTCGGATGAGACCTCAAAAACCGCATGTCACAGGAAACTTTGGCACGATAAAGATCCCTCACAGCTCAATGGCCCTGAGTGCCAAGTAAAGGTCTAAATTTGAAGCCCTTTACCGATTTATAGTGACGTATCTTTATGAGTAGAAAAATTCTCGAACGGAACGTAAAAAAAAATACGATCAATCAATATAGCAGAAGTGACCTTACTTTTGAATGAACCCTCGTATACATTTTTTACATCTACCGCTATTTGTTTTATGGCTGTCGTTGCACTTGAATGATATTATTAAATCAGTTGTATTTGTATAAATATAAATTTACATACGCGCTTGCCTTAATATGGATCACTGCTCGGTCGTATGTGTTAGAATAAGGATGCACTTTGATGAACTTCTTGGTGTCCTGGGTGAATTTGGTCCCTACCAGAAATATGTCTATTTTTATGTATGCCTCCCATTTATTATTGTTGCTTTTCATCTGGCCAATTCTGTTTTTCTGCTGGGAATTCCAAAACACAGGTGACACATATATAGTGTATGTTTAAATTTCTTTCGCTTTCTCTTTAGAAATATTAATTCATTTAAATTAAGCATAATTTCGTGTATTCTACATTTACATGTAAATTACTGTTAGTTATTTAATAATACAGGGAGAAAAAAATTGAATTAATTGTAAAATTTATTTATTTGAAGTTATCTCCTCTATAGACCTCATAAACTTTTAATTTCCCCAGGAATTAATTGAATGTAATATGCATAATATATAGTCTTATGATTTTCAGAAGTGCTTTTTTGTTTGTTTTGTTTTGTTTTTGTTTTGTTTTGTTATTTTTAATTTATATAAAGATGTCCTCATAAACATGGATAAGTAATCGATGAGCATTCTACAATTGCAGTCCTTTTTCGGTATCGAGTAGAAACAATAGAGCCTTAATTAAGATGAAATGTTGTTTTATGTGTAAATGACACACACAGAGGAACCTAAAGAAACGCGATTTAAAATTTGCTTCAGGCAAGTTGGCTAATGTTCTGCTATAATAATTTTCCTGGAAATTTAAGTATTCTATTGCTGGTTGCGCAATCATTTCATTCATCATATTATCCAATCAAGATAAACGACTAAACACTGTTGGAAGAATTTGGTGTTTTTATGTATCAATATTGATGAAAAATTTACTAACATAAAAAATGATGCTTAGTAGTACAAGTGACCAACTGACATACCTTCTGTGGAAAAAAGTTTAATGCTCATTTATTTCCAGTCTCTATTTTACAGATCAAAATATATTTTTTAAACTACCTTCTTTTCATTTTAATCTCAAAATTTGATTAACATAGATGATAGGTCTTTCTAAAGTTAGTTTATTTTTGTAGAACCGAAAACAGTAGCTCAATAAGTACCCCCCCCCACCCCCCAACCCCCCCAACATTTGAGAACGTAATTGAAGTGTTTGTAACTGTTTCCTTTTTATCTATTCGTTTTTGGAAAACGCGTCAATTTTTAAGATTTTTGCTGGATCAGGCGGAAACACTTTCGGACTTCTTCCCCCTGGAAGAAGTTTTAGCCTGTAATTTTTTTTATATTCTTGACTTCCACTCAAGAAGCCAATTTCAACAGAATTTTCCATATATATATATATATATATATATATATATATATATATATATATATATATATATATATATATATATATATATATATATATATACAGGCGCGGATTCAGGCATTTTTTCCAGGGGGGGGGGGGGTCCATACCAGTCAAAAACAATGGTAAAATCCATTTTCAAAAAGTGAAAAACACCTTTTTCGTGGTGGTGGGGCGAGGGGGGGGGGGTTCCAAAGTCATATTTTATTTGCGTTTGTATATACTATTTATAACTCTGCAAATTAGTAGCAGTTTGAAGGAAATCCACGCATTATTCCAACTTCATAACCATGCATTTTAACATTGCTCATCGAAATCAAAAACCGATAAAAACCGATAAAAAGAATGCGATATGTGTACTGATTTGCATTTCCTTTGAATAAACTGTAAAAGGAGTAGCATTTTGTAAGGACTTCAAAGAAAAAATTGTTCTGGTAAGCATACACGGCAAACCTCTTCGTCAAAGTCATTAAGATTTATATCTGTTTCTTAGTGTGGTCTACATGTGAATCAAGTTTTATTGAATCATGAATAGGAATAGTAGCCGCATAATGACAAAAGGGCGACTGACGAAAACTTTGGCATAAGCTCCATGGTCTCTAATCAGTAGAGTTAATGAAAATGTTGACTACCATTTTTCTTGCCATTATATATGTTTGGTTTCACGGAACATGACGTATGTATATACACTTTTCGTAAAAAAATAAATTAAAAACGGAGTGGGATAATCATGTATAATTTCTTTCCATCTCTTTCCTCAGCATGGAAAGTTTGTGGTCAGTTTTCGTTTTATTGATCCGATTGAATACTTGAATTGACCTCAACTAAAGACATTTTTATAAACATACATTGTACAATTGATGTATACTACATGTACCTGTGAGGTCAGGTTTTCATGAATGAAGACTCAAAAGCATACTTTAACGAGATTGTTAACTTGTTATACCTTTGAGATCAACCTTTCAATCTGGAAATAAAATGAAAATTATCCTTAAAACTTAAAACGTATTGAGGAAACAGACGAAGGAACGTATTTATAAATCAAAATCTCCCACCGTAATTTTTTAAATTATTTTACGTCAATATCAAGTTTAATTTAACGACCTATAAACTAAACTATTCTGACTACTAGGATTTTTGGTATGCAATACATGTAAGTATATCTAGCTAGGGCTATTCAGTTTGACAAAAACGCCATTTTCCACGAACTTTATAGACAACCCTCGTATGTATTTATAAATCAAGTTCTCACAGTAGTTTTTTTTTAAATTATTTCACATCAGAAATTTACAAAAAGGGTATCCAGTCGTCAGACATAGACTATAAAATTGATCTGTAATAAACACCATTACTTCTATTAAAGTCATGATGCACCAGAAATTTTAAGCAAACGAAATTCAAACTCAAGCATATTTTTGATAAATTCCATATATGTATATACATGGTTTATCATTTTTATATATGAGGTGCGCTATAATTCACTTAAGATGCCTATGAATAATTAATGAACGCGCTGTACACGTGCTTCGGAATTCTGGTGACCTGTTGATTCGTAAATTAGTTATGTTCACTCAGGAAAATCTTACCTCATTTTATCTAAGATATTAAGCTTAACACGTACCCCTCATCAATTTATTTTAATCTACTGTTCTAATTCTCCAGTACCATAGGAACAATATTGCTTTTTAAAAGTACGAGAAATTTTGGGTAATAAACTTCTATTCTCTGCGCAAATTTAAATTGACCGGGCATTGACAAGTAAACATTTGATTGATAATAAACGTAAGATAACAGTAGTTTAATTTCCATTTTGTGTACGAAGCTTGAAGTTTCTTTGTAATTTTTACAAAAGAGGTTCACATAGTCACCTATGAATTATGTCTGTAATCTTTTATACCCGAAAAGTGAGGAAAATCGTCCAAAATGGCAAAGGGTTTCTCAGCCGTTTTTTTTTTTTTTTTTTTTTTTTTTTTTTTTTTTTGTTTTGTTTTTTTTTTCATGCATGAGCAACAATGAATGTACATTTTTTGTAACGGTATCAGACTTTATTTTCGATTTCAATATGTCCCAGTGTACAACTCATAAAGATAAAGAAAGGTGTGCAAAGAAACATATTTGTATGCTTGTACTGATGTATGCTGATTTTTCACATAAAAAGTTGTATAATTTGGGAAAATGTTGTAATCTTTTACGTCAAATTAAAATTTGTTTTATGTGTCTTTTGGGATTTTAGGTTATGATAGAAGTTTATTGAATATACATTCATTCATTATCGTGGTAAAAAAAAAAAATCAATTTATAAACATGCTATAATCTTTAGATAAATGTTTTTAGATTTTTAGAAAAAAAGTTTTCCTATACTTTTCTACTACTGTTAAACTTAGCTTTTTATTCTGAAAAAAAAAATTCTGAAAGCTTTTTTCTATATAGTCTTTTGTTCGCAAAAACCCCTCCCTCCTCCCTCCCAGAATTAAGGATCGCAAATTCATTGATGTTTAAATAGGCCAGATTACGTCATTTAAAAGATCTTATCTAATGCGAGCACAGTTTATTTTAATTTAATACTACCTTTAAATAAATAAACATACTTAAGACAAACTACAGTATCTTAATTCTTTTCTTCATATCAAATAAAATTTCTCTGTAAAATATAATGTTTAGTCACACATGCTACATGTACATTTCTATACTGTCAACAATTTAGCTCCTGTCTCGTTCGAACTGACATACAAATTTAAATGTACCTACGCTCTTGGCTCAATGTTGATCATTGCACGGTCGCATGTGTAAAAGTGAAGATGCACTTTGACGAACTTCTCGGTGTCCTCGGGGAATTTGGTCCCTACCAGAAATATGTGTATTTCCTTGTGTGCCTCCCTTCCATTATTGCCGCTTTTCATATGGTCAATTCTGTGTTTCTTCTGGGAATTCCAAAACACAGGTGAAGCATTTCTGGTATTTGTTTACATTTTTCGCTTTCTCTTAAGGAATTATTTAGTGTTGATTTGACGTTGCTAATTTGATCAATATTAGATGAAGAAAGTTATTGATTAATTGTGGAGTATTTTTACTAATTTTCATATTTTCCTCCCCGTATATCTCGGAGAAATAGATGGAATATAAAATTCTTGATATAAAATCATTCATTTGAAACACGGTATTTGCTCTTCAACCACAATCACTTTTTTTATCAAACGTCTCTCTGAGATGTATAGTTTAGAAAATTCGCATTGAAATAATGGATGATGATTTTTTTAATTGAAAACTTTTCAAAAAAGAAAATCATATGCTTAACTTGTGAACAAGGGGCTATTCACTTTAAATATTAATCATGTCACACGGGAGCAAAAATTCAACCTTTGTTTATTGTACGTAAACTTTTCAGACGGTAAATCTTTTAATAGAGACATCGGTAGCCACTTTGTGATGATATATATCTGAATTTGTAATTGGTGGGCATCATATTAGACTCTTGATTTTTTATATGCAGTTCTAATCCCTTTTAGAAATGTTGCAACGATTAAATGTTTTTAATGTAAATGCCACATGCATGTACAGAAGAAAGAAAACAAACATGTCTTGCTCCAGGCAAGACTGTAAGAGGAGTGCTCATTGTTTTGCTCTAATAAATTCTAAGTTCAATGCATATCCTATTGCCAATTGCAAATTTTATCCATTGCACTACTTGCTCATGGTGTATTATTCTACAGAAGAAATGATGCGTGATTTATTTATCAAAACTGATAAATGGGAATGAACTAAAATTTAAAAAATAATGATGACTATGTTAAGATTATCAGAACGCACTGATATCCATAAAATGTAGAGTTCTAATATCTGAATCTTAACCTATTGCAACTCTTTAAATTCCGATAGGATAGCATTGGAATTTGTAAAAATAATAATTTTGACATGTACATTTGGTATAGATATACAGTTTCGATAAATTAAGATCACGACCCCTTTCTTTCATTAAAATAACTTTATTTTGAAAAGAAAATAGATTTACATGTAACTTATCATAATTCTATACCAAATGATTTAGTGATGGCAAACACGGACATTTTGAAACAGGAGAAGGAATAAACTGTTAGACTTGACTGCACACCGGCTTTTCATTTAGGATATTTTCTTTGCAAAAGCTAAAATCGTCAATTTCAGTATAAAATGAGAAAAATGGGTCAAATCTGGCCAATAATTCATTCTTGACAATAGTAAACTGTCCTCTAGCTAAATACATATTTAATATATATTTATAAATATACATGTATATTCGTATACATGACAAAAGTGAACCAGTAAAAGTATATAGGATAGCCTGTTCGAAAATAATAGTTCATAATGCTCAAGGTTTGAAAATACAAAATACTGGGAGATGGAGCACTATGGTTTTGAAATTAAATTTCCAAGATCAGAAGATTGTGGCGTAAATCAAGATGATATTGAACCCTTCAGACAAATATTTACTTAAGTTTACGTTTAGCTATACAGCACTTTACCTTTTAAAACTTGGAGATACTTAATTAGGAATGGGATAAAGTTACAAGACGAAATCTCGTAAGTATTCGAAAGAAAATACAGTATTTGTTTGGCTCTTTAAATCGTGCATATTTTTCTTTCAAAGGAAGCGAGCAGAAACTTTTAAATTATGTAAATATATGTATGTGTAGTCCACATTCAATACATCATTATTATCAAAACATGCATTTAGAATGAATCTTGAAAAGTACAGATCACAAAAGAATGAAAAATAGTCGTTTTACATACAAATATTTACAACCAAGGTGAAATCTGACTGAAATTATGTCATAATTTTTTTTTTTTTTTTTTTTTTTTTTTTTTTTTTTTTTTTTTTTGCACAAATGTGATGTAGAATGAGAATAGAATCATATTCTTATTGATCTGTGATCAAATCTTAGGCAACTATTTTCAAATTAAAGTAGACGCATCGACAATTACTGATCAAACAAAGCATTTAAAAGTGCACTAAAGGGTGGTAAAATTAAAAATTAAAATTTCACCTATTTTTTTAAATGCCTTCTAGGTACATAACTTGATGGTGATGGTGATGTGTGAATTAACAGTACATTAATTAAGCCCTTCTCGCACTCTCACAGATGCAAATTACCAAATTATCCGAACGATACCTACCTCAGCCAAGGCCCAGCACACGACGATTTGATCAAGGCCTACATACCTACAGAGCTCAACGCTGACAACGATGTGGTGAACAAAAAATGCAAGATTTTCTCCATCCCTGTTTTAGACAATGTGACTACAGGCATCGAACAAAGTTGCAGTTCGTGGGTTTACGATAAAACAGTTTATGATAGCACGTTTGCGTCTGAGGTACGAATTTAACTTTACTAATTTTATATAACTTATACTAAGCATATAATGCTCAATCTGCAATATAATAGATAACTGAAATTAGTTTTCAAATACAAGTAGTATACAAAACGCTATTTAATATAACTGGCTCACTAAAAGATGCCTATAGAGATTGAATAGTGACTTACTATATGTAAAGAACACTTATTTTGGGTTCTTTACCTTAAAAACTTACTTTAAATAGAAGTTAAGTTTTTATAACTAAAATCACTTATAGTGTTGTTCTTGTCGTAAGATTGCATTTCTTTACTCTAGATTTACTTTACAATAGCTTAACTGTAAAATAGATTTATTTTACAACTGCTATACTTACAGTATAGCTTTGCTTAACAGTTGTTTAACTTCACAGTAGCTTAGAATAACAGCATTGTATTTCCAGGCATGTTGATGAACACAATAACTCATTTGCAAATATTCACTTTCATGTACATTTCAACCATTTTATACGTTAACTCGAGTATAATGATATGAAAAGGAAGGTGTAATTTTCATAATTACTTTCTTTAAGTGGTATACTTTTATAAAACGTACTTTATATAGAGTTTATATGGGGTGACATGCATGTACATATACTTCTAGTTCTGTATGTTTTATACGGTAGATCTATCAATTACAGTTGTCTACTTACAGAATAGGTGGCTTTTAATAATATTGCTTAAAGTTGTGGTGACTTAATAAAGTTCTGTTTGCTTGACTCAAATATGACCTACTTGGGGTAATTGCTAAATTATTGCAACTTACTAGACACAGGATACATGTATTTCTAATTCTCTTAAAGTAATACGGGCATATGATTACTTCATTATAAACGCTAGAATGTATTAATTTACATGTATTGAATATACAGTTTATTTGTATAGTAGATGTACATTTTTATTTAATGTTTCATCTATGAAATAAGTTAATGAATCGATTTTATAATCGCTTTCTTGAAGTGAATAATGTGTAGTAGCATAAAAACTATACTGGTACGAAACTTCTTGTATAAACTTGCTTCTTTTAATGGACATATTACTGCAATTTATCGAATGAAAAACGTGTGGATGAAATATGGAGATAACGAACAGTATTCAAGCTCAAAGTCCATTGAAACAATACAAATCGGGAGCAGAGCAAACACGGACCTCCAAAAACAAGGGTGGGATCGGGTGCCAAGGAGGAGTGAGCATCCCCTGCCGACCGGTCACACCCGCCGTATGCTCCTTGTCATGATCGGTAAATAACGGGAAAAAGTCCGTCGACAATTCAGTGTGTAAATAATGGCCTTACAATTAGTATGAAAAATGTCAGTCAGCATACATGTATGACTTTATAAGAGTGTATTTGCTGACAAGGTCATTGTATCGACCATAGAACTTACGAAATGATGACTTTAAACGAGACTGTTGATATTCTTGTTTCATCAACTTGTTTTTGTCAATAACTTGCCTCGTTTTAAAAATTGTTCATGCGTAGGGCATGCTCTTGCGAATCGAATCAACTGAGAGATTTACATCCCATATGCAGGTGATAAGGGTATATTGCTGCATTTGTTTGGTTAATTTTACTGACTTTTTCTAGATATATTACTAATATTTTTAGTTTAAAGATTACATTTTCTATTCTGACTTACACTGATGATTTTCTTCACAGTTTATCGTTGTAATTGAATGATACTTTTTATACAGCAAAATTTAATTTGTGACAAGCAACTATGGGCATCTAACGCCAAAATGGTTTTCTTTGCTGGTGTGTTTTTCGGAGCTCTGGGTCTAGGCGCACTTGCAGACAAGTACGTTATATGTTTACTTCTGTTTTTTTTAATGTAAAAAATAAAATGAGCTCACCACGTAATATAAAAACCTACTTAGTATGCAGATATAAACGCTAAACGTGTTTAGCTTCTTCTTTCTTTTTTAATGATCCCCCAAGGAGTGATTTTTTTAAAAAATTGTATTCACTTTCCTAATATTTACGAGGATTGGAAGAAAGAAGACACTGATTTTATCCATACTAGTGCTGCTGGCGTCCAGTCTAGCCGTGTCGTGGGCGGCTAACTTCTATCTCTTTTGTGTTTTACGATTCATCGTTGGATTTTCCTGCGCGGGGACTTTCATGTCAGCCTTTGTTTTAGGTGAGTTTTTTTTTTTAATTATCTTACTCATTAGAATATGCTTTCAAAAATAAGTTTATTCAATATACCAAGACAAAGGTATGTTTTACCATTAAGAAAAGAAATTTTGATGGCAATTTCATTCATTAGTAGATGACAATACCATTCTTTATCCTCTCTCATCAATTTCAATTTGTTTTTCTGCAATACAGGCGTTGAGATCGTTGGTCCCTCAAAGCGGCTGTGGGCTGGGGTTGTCATCGAATACTTCTTCGCCATAGGACTGGTTATTCTATGTCTTATTGGCTATCTTATTAGGGACTGGAAGTACAATGAGATAGCAGTGTCTGTTCCCTCCGCACTTCTGTTGAGTTATTGGTGGTGAGTGGGCGTGTGTTTTGTCGAAATAAGTCATATACTTAATATTTAATTTTCGAAGTTGTATTGGTAACTGTATCGTACATGTAAACTAGTACATAGCCTGACTAGCATGAATACTACCAGTTAATTTCAGACTCCACGATTAATTCCTTGTAAATACATGATTTGAAATATCAGTAAAGTATCGTTGCCATATAATAACCTTGTCCTATACTAGATCATCCCCAGAAAGAATTACTTCATATAAAGTTAAATTTTCCCCATTGGGGAATGTTACTATATAGTATTTATTACATATAGTAAACCTTCCTTTTGAATTCAAACAATGATCGGTTTGAAGTTTAGTGGGAGGGCTATGTAGCATTTAATATACCTCGTAACAGATTCTTTTATATTTTTAATAAGAATACTAATTATTACATAACATTATTGATGAATCGCTAGTTATCATGTAAAATTCTGTGAAGATGTGATACTGTATATGGTATTATTTCGCCCCTTGTAATTTTTTCCCTTTCCTTGAAAACACTTTTGCTGTGTTTTAAATTCACCCAAACACAAGTTGTGTATATAAGATTTGTTGTTTACTTTGAATTTACCCCGTTTTAAATTCACCCTATTGCAACGAGGGCGAAAGGGGCGAAAAATTCCCTGTATGCAGTATTCCTTCTAGGTTATTGCCAGAATCTCCTCGATGGTTGATAAACCGTAGAAAATACGAGGAGGCCAAAGTCATTATTCGCAAAATAGCCAACCGAAATAAGGTAGAAGTTACAGATAAGCAGCTGGATTCGCTGGAATGCGACGAAACAGCGACAGGCCAGCTATGGCACTTGTTTACGTCGAGAGTGCTGTTTGTCCGAACTATAATAATTTTCTTGAATTGGTAATTATCTAACTATTTGAAAAATCTCATTTTCATTTCTTATCGACTTTCAGTAAGAAAATGAACTTCAAATGAAATTTAAGCAGGACTGATAAGTACGCGAATTGCAATTGATGTACACATTGCATGTCCCATATCACTGACTCTTAATTCTTTTCCTCAGGTGTGTTGTAAGTATGGTATACTACGGACTGTCCCTAAATTCCGGGAACCTGGCTGGCGACTTTTATTTGAATTTTTTCCTGACAGGTCTGGTAGAATTCCCAGCTTATACTCTTTGTTTAGTGTTATTGGATCGTATTGGAAGAAAGAAACTGCATTGCGCGTGTATGGTGCTTGGAGGGCTTGCTTGTATTTCAACCATTTTTACAGTTTTATACATTGGGAAAAGTAAGTTTACCATCTTAATCTTTTGAAGTTACGGATATATTAGAATTTTATTGCAAACTGATTACCTTCACATTGCAGTGCTAGTGTATTGTAAAGTATACTTTAAAATGGTCATAAATTTGTTCAAATTTAAAAGAACAAATCTGAAGATAGGAAGGTAAGGTTTTAAATGGGTATAATTAATCCCGCCTCGCAAGAGTACTTGCTTTATTGCACTATATACAAATTACTTCATATGAATTGTAAAGTTTAACGAAGTAATCATGCTCAAAAGTCCAATAAACAATACAAATTGTGAGCAAAGCAAACACGGACCTCTTGAAACAGAGATTGGATAAGCACCATGGAGGAGTGAGCACCCTCTGTGAACTGGGCACATCTGTGTCGTGATAGAGTAAACGGGGAACAACGTAGACAATTCACTGTGAAAATAATGGCCTAACAATTTGTATAAAAGATGTCAGTCAACTTTCGACCTAATGATATTGTATTTGCTAACATGCAATATCACTGTATCGACCATAGAATTTATCAGATGTTTAAATGACGAGATTGCTGATGTCCTTAAATCATCAACTTATTTCTTAGTAGCCTATTTCGTTTTAGAAATTTCTTGGACTCATTAACCCCATATGCAGGTGATATTGAAATACTGCTACATAAATAAGGGAAGTTGATGAAATATAAAAGTTGAAGTTATCACGTTTATCATAATGTTTAGTTGCTAGTTTACCATCAAAGTCTTTCCTTAGTAAAACACCCAAATATGAAACAAGATGTGTCAGACCCCATTGTGTCTTTTATTTCGAGTTTAGTGGCCTATATCGAATCAACGTAAGTATGAAAATAAATATCCTTAATTGATAAAACGTCGTCGATATATCTAAATGTCGAATTGAAAACAACGGCAATGACTTTTTCTCTCCATATAGAAGTTTTTGAATAAATTACGTTTCATAAACAAAACAGATCTGCTAATAACAGGGCACAGTTAGTACCCAAGGGAATTCCAATAGATTGTTTGAAGACCAATTTTGCAAAGTAAATTATGTATATGATTATTTTTTTTGTTTTCCCGATCATAGCAAAGAGCACACGACGGGTGTGACCGGTCGTCAAGGAATGCTTACTCCTCTATGGCACTTGCTCCCAGTTAATTCTCATGTTTTTAGAGGGCTGTGTTTGCTTTGCTCCAAATATGTACTGTTTATATGGACTTTTAAGCTTGGTTACTGTTCGTTGTTTCTATATTTCATTCTAATACGCCTATTTACATCTGAGATTGCTTGATATTTATCCAATTTCAGGTCATCAGATGTATACTACAGTGATTCTGGCGATGATCGGTAAGATCGGGGCCGCTGCAGCCTTTGCCGTCATTTATGTCTGGTCAGCGGAACTCTATCCCACCGTAGTCCGTAACGTCGCCATGGGCGCCAGCTCGTCCTGTGCGCGTATTGGAGGGATGGTGTCCCCCTATGTAGCAGATCTCGTAAGTCTTACTATATCGATTAAAGATGAGACATAAATGAAAGTGAAGACTATAACCTTTGTAATTAACAAATCAAGTCCAAAAAGATAACGGAAAGATATACACATAGTTAATATTATCAAAATTTCCTATTTCAGTTGGAAAATTTTAACAATTATATCCCATCCTTATGTAAGATACGAGTACGTTTTGATAAAGGAATGTGACAATTAGTCGTAAATATTTATATACATCTATTGTATATATGGAACTGCGGTTCTTAGACATTGAAATGTCATTTCCTCTAATTGTACGAGTTTATCTGTATTTAGAGTTTGATAGTTGATGGCCATTTCGGACAAGCTCTTCCGCTAGTTGTGTTTGGAGGAGCTTCCATACTAGCTGGGCTGCTCTCTCTTATTTTACCGGAAACACTAGGCGCCAATCTACCGGAAACCATCCAAGATGGCAAAGATTTTCCTCCACCAAAGTATATATTCATTTATTCATATTACAGAAATCAAATCATGTGAAATCACTTATTTACGGGGAAGGGGGTGGTATGAAGAAACCTACAGTTCCTGTCCTCCAATAAAATGTAAACTTTCAAAAATATTTTTAAAATCTCAACACTTCTTCATCAACTAAATTAAATCCCTACCAACAAATATTTTTTCTCAAACCAAGAAAAATATTGACTCCTATAAATAAGTGATTTTGCAATACTTAAAAAAATGACGTTACTGTCGCATATTGTCGAGTGAATTTTGTTTACATTGCCTTTCTTTTTTTCCAGGCAGACCAAAAAATACGAGGAAAACGGATCTTCATATACCTACAGGAACGAGTCTTTTATAGTGGATACTTCGAAATTTTAAATTGCTCGGAAATCGATCTTTCATACATTAGACATTAAAATATAAATATACCTTTTTCATAATGATATATTTTCACCCTAGACTGCGGTTCATACTTCTTTATTCAATACATGAAACAATCTCACGGTAAATTCTTTCAATTTTAAATGTCAAGTTTAACTTACAAATCGTTATGGTTCATTGAAACTGTACAGAGTGTTTATGAAACAATAACTTGAGTAAGAACAATTGGAATCCAAATGTAAAAAAAAAATGTGACAACTGTCTAGATACCTTTACATAAAAATACTATAGTAAACTATAGTTAACTATGGTGATAACTTTGACACTATGAAAACTATAGTCAACTGTAGTTACTATAGTGATAACTTTAACACCTTGATATACTACAGTGATAACTTTGAAAACTTTGTAAAATTTATAGTGATCACTAGGAAAACATTGTAAAAAAACTATAGCGATCACTATTAACACTTTGATTTACTACGGTGATCACTATGAAATCTTTGATTTACTATGGTGATAAGTTTGAAAACTTTGATTTACTAAAGTGATAACTTTGAAACGTAAATTAACAATAGTAAACTATAGTTTACTATAGCAGTTTTGCTAGGATATATAGTAAATATAGTACACCTTTGATTAAAAAAAAAAAAAAAAACTTTTAAATGGCTTATGTCAGATTTAATGTCGGGCTCAAGATTAGCTTGATTATTAACGGTATGAATAAATTAATATTTCTTGCATTTAATTTTTTTAACACAAGATATAGTGTAGACTTGCAAATTCGTCTGGTACCAGAGATTCTTTGTATAATTTTGTTGAATCGGCATTAAATACATATCAGTACTTTGAAAAATGTTCAAATGATAAAGTACAAATTCATAAAGTGTTCAAAAAAGTTTAAGAAAGTTTCTAAATTTCAATATTTTGCCAACAGGTCCACAAAACAGTTATGGTCTCAGTGAGTTAGCATGACGTTCAAAGGTTCGGAATAGTGGCCCACCATGCTAACGTAGAAACACTGTATATACTGTAAACTTCAAATATTTATGTTAATTTTGTTATAAATATTAGTTCATAAGTAAAATTTATATTTTGTCTATAAAGTTAAAATGAATTTCAACATGCAGTATTTTTTAATCGCTTTATCGATGGATTTTTCCGTTATTTCCCGATCACGACAAGGAGCACACGGCGGGTGAGACCGGTCGGCAGGGAATGCTCACTCCTCCATGGCACCTGATCCCACCTTGATGTTTTTTACAGGTCCGTGTTTGCTCTGCTCCAAAATTTGTATTGCTTAACGGACCTTTGAGCTTAAATACTGTTCGTTATCTTCATACATTTCATTATGTAATCTTTAATAAAAATAATCACATTATCTATTGTATTCATTGTAACTCATATGTATATCATTGTTTGCAATTAATAAAAAAAGAGCGTTTTTATGAATGAGATTGGATTAATGCAAATCAGTGAACACATTATTCTAGGTAAGAAAACAATTCAAGAAAAGGAACATTTATCAATGATGGTATTTTAAATATTTCTTTCAAATGTTTTAAGACTAAATTGAAATTGAATGTTTCACACATAAAGTTTTGTTTCAGTCATATAATAAGAATATACACGAAGGACATATACCTGTATTTAAAAGAATCAAAATTTTCGATTATTCTAAAAAATATGAATTTTTTAATACTTTATATGTATAGGTATTTAAATTTTACCTAATATTGCGAAATGACTCTCCAAGACGTCAAATCGCGAGAGTTTGAATTCGCCATTGGACTGTAGGTCTCGATCTTATACACGTATTTCAGCAACAACAAAATAAGGGTGAGCAATTTTCAATTTGCGATAAGTGCTTCCCGCTAAATTAAGCGATAATTAATTCCTCCCGTATATATTGGAATCTACAGTATATCTATATATGTAAGCACGTACTTCTGCCTCATTCCCTGTTCCATCGAAATACGTTTTCTAACGTCGGTTGGGATTTCAAAACTTTGATGGTAAAAGACCAACACCCCTCCCATTTAAAACACTTGTGACATATAGCATTTTCAAGTTACATGTCCATATTTTTCTTTGGACGAAGAGTAATTTCATATTATAATCCATAACAGATAAAAATCCTTGAATGGTGCTTTACTCCAGTACAAGGCGGATTGGTCAAAGTTTTCTACTGGGTTTTCTATGACAAACTGTGTTTTACAGTAAATGAAAAAAAACACGGTTGGACTTTCGTTTTAGGTTTTTTATTGGTTTTCGTAGCTCTCCTTTCTGTAAACACTACAGATGTGCATGCTCTTCAACAGTTAATACAGAGTTGATACGGTAAATGCACTGTCAAAGAATGTTAACAAAAATAGAATAATATTCGAAAATGCTTTTAATATTGATCTAAACTTTATGCTACATTATTTAAACGGTGGAACCTTATGAGATACGAACACTGAAATGTGCATACTATCCGCAGTTCTTTTATTTGTACATTATGTAAGTTGAATTTTTAATTTTTTTTTTTTTTTTGGGGGGGGGGGGGCACTCCTGAAATAAGACTGTTTTTTAATATGTCCTGGTTAATTCTAGGCTTAAAGCCTTGCTAGCCAAAAATTATAGATTTTTTCTCTATATTTCAATCAGTTCGTTTTTATTGAAAAAAATTGTAATACTTTACAGAATAAGAAAGATGCTAAAAGATTAAACATATAATGTTAGTAATTATGATTATTCCGTGATTTTTTCTGAAAAGAAACTACAAAAATTCAGCATATAAAAATCATGTAATCTTACATTGAATTTAGATTTAATTCCCATATCAAAAAAGTAAGTTTATGATAAAACAAGTTTGTCGATTGATTATGCATTTGTTGATTATATGGTGATCAAATTGAAATTTTATTATATCAAATTGCCAGATTTACACTTCATAAAACATAAGTTTAATCGGAGGTGATAAAAGAATTAGAGAACAACTACATGAACAATATGCTATGGTTCCAGCAGACAAGGCTTGTAAAAATATCCTCTTTGTTTGTAAGTATCATCATCAAAATTGTATTTTAGAAGAACTTGGTTTTAATTCTACATCTGAAAATCCTTCTTAAACTCACAGTTCACTTTCTAAAGATGATATTCTTTAAAATCATATTTCAGTCTTTTTAAGAATTGAATTCTTATTTTTGGATGTCGTCGGTCCTATAACACACCTGGCCGTGCCGACAAATTGAATACCGCGAGTTAGCGCGGTATGATAATTTGTCGGCACGGCCAGGTGTGTTATAGGACCGACGACATCCAAAAATATGAATTCAATGCTTATATTTACATTCTCTAATTTTCTCTCTTCATAATTGTTTATTTCGTTAATCATTATTATGCATTTAGCGCCTTTCAGAACTGATGTGCTTGATGGACGTAATAGCCGTCTGTGACGTTGGAAAGTCAAATAACACAAATGAACATTGCGAGAAAAAATGACAAATTAATTTTAAACGCACAGTTGCTGTAGTTTACGTTAATTTAACAGGGTAGTTGTTTTGTTTTTGTTTTTTTTAATTATTAGATTGAGTCAAAACAATATACATTTTGGTGTTCTTAGATACTGAAAATGCATATAGTTCCTACTATGTATTCTACCGCGCGGTGACAGGGTTTCGCGTGTGTTATAGAGATTTGAACGTTGTAGATTTCTAATGGATTTCATAAAGAAATTACCCTGAATGTAAATATAATATTTTAACATTCCAGTTAACGACGCATCTAGTTAAGGTCTTTCGTCTTCACGGAAGACCTTATAGTGATTCTATTGTTTCTTCTTATTTTTAAGGTCTTCCGTCTTCAGCTGAATACCCTCTTGTTTTTCTTAGGTTTCTTTTCCACTATTTTTTGTTATTATTAGTGTCTTCCGAGCTTCCGCTTCGGAAGACCCTTCTGTTATTCTACTGTTTCTTTTTTTTTTTCCCCGCAAATTTTTGTCAGCTGATTTCTCGGAGATTTTTTGCCTGATTTTTATCATGAATCTTTCAGGAAAGAAACATTATGTAAAGGCCTAAAACGGTTTTTTTTTTAATTTGTTGATTTACGCCTTTATTTATGAGTTATTGCCCTTTAATTGATATTTTGAGGGTCTTTTGTCCGGCTGAGATCTCGGGAACTACGTAAGACAGTTGTATGAAAATTTTAAGAAAGGGTAGCTAACATATTGTAGTTGTGTCAAATGTTAAATTTATTGGCTAAACTTTTCAAGTTTGTATGCTATTTGATAGCAAATTTTCAGAATTTTTTTTCATGAAATTTTGTTGCTTTTTGTTTAATTACTTTTGAACTAAACTATTTTGTTAAAACATATAGAAGAAAAGTTGTATGAAATAACAAGGGCTTTCAGATGAAATCAAGAAAAAGGAGCTGGTCTCTATATTTAGGGGTCAGTACGTCATAAATGTCTTTTTTCAAATAGCTAAAAGTGTTGACTTTCGCTACAAAATTTTTATTTTATACTATATAGCATACTAAATCTTTTTATTTGACATAAAAAGAAAAGAAAATCATGCTTTATTTAAAGCTATTTTACGAAATGAATTTCATGTAATAAAATATAAGAACAAGTTGTCAACAAGCTAAAAATAGATCAACGCGTACATGCCTTGTCATGACCTAAATGTATACAATTATTACTATATAACGGCTTTCTATCATGCTGGTACTGAAATGTGAAGCCTATATATTTGTCACTTTAAACACCTATCTTATTAATAAGTTACAATATCGCAAATGTTTTGGTTCGATCGCACTGGATGTAAACATTCAACGGCATTGTGGGTAGGGGACCAGCATGGCGGCACATGTCAATGAACCAGAAATGCATGTAGACATGCATTATTCGATCCGCAGCTAAGCTTATGTGCAGATTAACATTTCTGATTACGTATATGGAGCAGTAGTGTAAAGAAGGATTTATTCTGAGTTTTAAACTAAAGATTTCGTGTGCGATTGCGAGGAAATTCCGATGGCAGAGTATTTGTGTAACGAGTAAGAAAACAGTTATCAGTGATGTGTTAGTGTCTATGTCATTCCTGTGAAGCATGAACGATTCAAAAGAATTAAGGTAAGATTTTTTTACATAATTAAATTATTTGGAATATACACAAATTGATAAATGCTAGCACGCACATGATATATACACTGATCAGCTGATGTTATATATCTATTTTATAGTACAGACTCGAACTGTAAACACTTTGATGACATTATCAAACTTTTAATACAAAGGCTTGTAATGCTTATAAATACTTTATTGGATTTTATTTCACAAAGAATTTGAAATAATTCATTTTAATTGTAAAAAGCAGATGGTACAGTCCAGCTGCAGTGATCAAGGGATAAGATTAAGAAAAAATTAGTGTATGTTACATAGAATATCAAACTTTGTTTTCTTTGTGGAGTGTGGTTATGAAATTTATTTTGAGCACAATACAACTGTATGTTTGGTATACATGGCAGACCTAAATGAAAAAAAACCCCAAAAAACTTGTAAGTTTGTTAATGGATAGTTTTCATGGGCTGTGTAAATTTCACAGTCACGACAGTGTATACTCTAAATATAGCTATAATCAATGAGGTCGTAACTATTTGGCAATGATTTAATAGTTTGAAATTCGGTGTGAAGTCAGTTATACCAGCTTGTATACGATCTCATCCAAAGGACCTGTCTCCACGTCCCAGTGGCATTCGAACCCGCGACGTAAGGATCAACTCATTACTCCCCGTCTCTAGAGCAGATACTCTTACCACTGTGCCAAGCAGGGGACCTACATTGAATTAAGTTAATTAATAGTTATCCAGATTTATTTTTAGTTGTTTGTTTTCTTTAAATCTTCTGAGAAATTTTCACTCGCGGTTTCACTTTTCCTAGCACCTATGCCAGCGCCTACTAGAACATGAGACCTCCTTTCATATGGTTTTATCCATAGGATCTGTATCTTTGTCACTCAGTGGATTCGAACCCATGAACTGGAAGTATAAAGGGTTATGTCCATTAGTCAGAATGAAAATGTATAAGCCTGAAGCTAACGGCCGGACTAATATAAGTGTCGAACCTTGCGCAGTATGGATCAGTTCCTTATTTCACAACTCTAGAACAAAATGAGAAAATACTCTTAACAACTATGCCACTTTATTCTTGAAACAAAAAGGCAAAGGTTCAACAATACACTAGAAATAACTTTAAATATTGCTACATTTATATGTCAGAATTTGATATTCTATAACACATGTAGAAAGTCATGCAGCTTAATTAAATTTCTCAGGTATATTTCATGATCAGTGTATATAAACAGCAAAAAATTGGAAATGTTTTATATGAAGGTTTGAAAT